CAACACAAGTCATACAATGGGTCGCCGTTTGAGGGCATGAGTCGATTGCATCGGATCTGCGGTCCCTGAAGAGTGTCCATCATTTCCAAGTCATACAAAGCGCCGCTTCCTATGAGTCAAAGCAAAAGTTCTTTCAATTATAGGCAAAAAAGTGATGTCAACTCAAATGAGACAATCATTACCAGCGATGCCGTAGTTCTGCGCCGAAACACAGCCCAGTCTTCGCGGGTGATGTGGACTGAAGGCCACGCCATAGCAGTTAAAGCCATTAGTCTTGAACTGAAGAACCATTCCTCAGCTTTAGATTGACATTCAATTCATTCAAAACATTGTTTACAAAAACAAATTCACGCATTCATTGCGTAAACACTCATTCAGTCTATTATACGACAGATAATATTGAAAGGGCGTAACTCTAAGCCTAAACTGTGTTACAGTTATGCTGTTTTGTGTCATTAATAATCTTGTGATGCAATGCATAATAACGTCGCGAAATGTTTGCCAATTAATGGAGGATTTAGTGAACAAAGCATTGAATGAATGCACAGAAAAGTAGTGCCCTTTTGGGCCGTAATTGACGGCAATTGCGTACAAATGGCGCCAAATGTGTGGAAAATCGGCGCAAAAGTGTTGACAGCTTTGAGTGGAAGACACCAAACAGTGAAGACATCGTCGCAGACATTGTTTCGCGCATTCAGTGCTCGTAATCAACGTATGGATCAAATCAACGCTAAGAGACTCCGCACTCATGAGCCCAAGAGTCAGCTCAAGTTCGCGAAGATAACGGACAACGCGTTTGCGCCGACCCGAGGGTCTGAGCGGTCGGCCGGTTATGACCTCTACTCCGCCTATGACTATACGGTTCCCAAACGCGGCCAACAATTGGTTAGTCTTTGAAGACATGATTGGATGCAATGATTGATTGAATGGATGTATTGTTTGCATTGATAGGTGAAGACCGACATAAGTATAGCGGTTCCGATGGGTTGTTACGGTCGGGTCGCCCCGCGCTCTGGTCTGGCAGTGAAGCACTCGATAGACGTCGGGGCGGGTGTTGTGGACGAGGACTACAGGGGAAACGTTTGCGTCGTTTTGTTTAACTTAAGCGA